AAATATTTTTTAAAAGCCCACATTAGGTGCATAATGATTTAGCTTGCATATGATATGCAATAAAAATAACAAGAATATCTGCATTTCCCCCTTTTAAAAAAATGATGGCATGTACAGAACAAATGTCAGGTATTTCCAAGACACAGTTACATCCAATCAAGAGATTATATCATCCAATACCTCAGCCATGGCACTGGAGATTGTATGCAGACGATCAGGGCAAGACAGAACGTGGTTCTATTGCACAAATATTAATTAAAATACACTCGTCCCTCCACATTTGCTGGGGTTAGGGGCACAGTCCCCCTGTGAATGTGGAAAAACCACAAATAACAAAAACACTATGTTTTTACCTGAGAGAACACCTCTCTAAGAATCTCTAGGTCAGGGGTAGGCAACCTTTTTGAGCTGGGGGCCGGGTTACTGTCCCTCAGACAATTGGGGGGCCGAAGCACCAAAAATAAATAAATAAATAAATAATAAAAATATATTTTTTTAAAAAATTAAAAAATTAAAAAATATGCATGCATACTCTCTCAGCCCCAGAAAAGCCATGGCTGTGGAGATTTTGCCAAGAAAACCCCAAGAACAAGTAATAACAACAATATTCAATATCATCATGGCGGCGGTGGCAGCAGGACCGGCCTGGAGCCGGTCCAAAGGCCTAGGGGGGTCACATCCGGCCCCCGGGCCTTAGGTTGCCTACCCCTGCTCTAGGTCCTCCAGTGCAACTCTGTGGCCAACATCTGTCAGACACTGACCACAGAATTGCCCTGGAGGAGCTGCAAATGCCTAGAGGAGTGTTCTCTCTAGGAATCTCTAGGTCCTTCAGTGACTTTTGGTTCAGGTTGACCATAGAGTTGTACCAGAGGATCTAGATATTCCTAGAGAGGAGATATTAATAAAAATACATGAATAATCAAATCCACAAAAGTCAAAGCCATAAATGTGGAAGGATGAGTGTATTTCCTTGCCTGTTTTTTTAAAATAACCAGCACAACTTTATTGATACTGTGTCACAAATTTTCCACAGTCAATTGAACTAGTTTAGAGATTGAACCCTCAGAGCTAAAATGCTGCAGAAGAAGTCCCAAGTGTTTCTGCTATTGTAAATCAGATTAACAGCTGTGCATTTTCATTATAAGATTCAAATTTACAGAATATTAGCTTTCTACCCCCATCCACCCACTCTGTTGATTTAGATTTTAAAAGTTCTTCAGTGTTTACTGTCAATTACAGCTGAAATTATTCTAGGTGATGTTGAACACATTGTAGCAAGAGGAAATGTGACCTACCTGGATTACTATTAACATTGGTTTTGGGTGGTCTGGGTGTTGGTTTGGGGAGGGTACTTTCACTCAGAGCTCTGCTAGCAGCAAAATGATGTGCCTTTTTAATACTACTTCCTTCAGCTTCCCACATCTCATCTCCAAGAGTCAGCTGCACTGTGAATATCTTCAAAGGTATAAAGGACAGGTAAGGGCACCATCACCAAGAGCAAAACTTGTGAAGCATGCTGGTTACAGAACAACTGCATTGCTTGGATTCTCTACTCCAAACATCAGTGCATGCCTGCATCACATTTGTTTTTGGAAGCAAGAGAAATCATACAGAGCATCAGGATGATCTCTTTAGTTCACCAACACTATATTCTCAAGCATATTTTGTCCATGCTGCTTTCTCCAACTCTTTTGTATACATCCCTGGCTGGGAAAAGCAAAGCCAGAGTTGATTGGTATTTGCTGTACTTTTACTGCCACCAGGATACATGCTATTCTCTTTCAGCTTTCAGGTCCATAAATCTACCTGTTTTCAGAATTTAGAATCTATATATGTTTATTAAGAAATATCACTGAATTTAAAGCGGGTTACTCATAAGTATGTATACTAAAGAATCACTGCTTTAAGCACGTGCCCTCCCCCTACTGATGCACTGTTTTTCTTCTCTTTCATGGATGTATTACAATAGTCTGAGTCTGAGTTGACCTTCTACAAACAGAAGGGCTTCCTTCATTTGCAGAAGGGTTTACAATCCAGTTGAGACTCCTATAGCAGAAGGGAAAGGGAATAGATTATTACCAGTGATTCTTCCTTACAGCCCCTTCACAAAACCCATGATGTACTTTAGGGTCTCACAATCCTCTACAGAAGTTTTTTAGATGGTAAAGGGAATTACAAGGGAAAGGAAGAATTGGCAAAAGTAATTTCCCTCAGGAATTTACTAGCTATGCCCACTATATCGACTGAAACCACATAGCTACAAAGCTTGGAAAAGTTACCATTTGGACAACTACTCCCAGTGGCTAAGGATTTGGAGTCAGGAGTCCAAAAAGTAAATGCGTATCTATATATTTTATATATTCTACAGCTTATAAGTAACTATATGGCCAGAAGTGAAGCAGGGGTTAGAATGAAGGATTTCAATGTTTGTTGTTTAACTACATTAATTTTTCTAATATTAATTTTGCTTAAAACATTCAGAAATAAGGCAAAAAAATTAATATCTTAGTTGATTTAACACATATAACACATATTTCATCTCAGCCTTGAAAATAAATCCTACCCAGTCCATCCCACACTCTTGCTGGCCATTTATATTATCTGTGGATCTGAAGTATATATTTTTACACACGCACACACCTTTTCTTTTTTCCTGCTCAACTCTTCCCTCCCTTACTTCCTTCTCTCATTAGTGAACTAGATGGAGGAAGAGCACAATCTTGTTTAAACTGGAGGATTTGACTAAACCATTTTGATTTCCAAAAGTCAAGCTGTGGCATGGTCTTAGTTATAAACAAAGAATAGAATATATACTGATGGCAGAAGCAGGGCACATGCAGCTTTTAACGTGCTGTTAAGAGTGCAACTCCCATGGCCTAGCTGCCAGAACCAAAGGTGCTTTGCAGGCCAACTTTTAGAGGACCACACATTAACCATGTCTGATTTCAGGTCTACAGTAAAGTTTCATAACTACAGGATTGTTACCTTGAGCAGTGAATATTCTGCTGAAAATAAAATAAGAAGTCACATATATCCAAAAACAGTGCAATAATACCTTTGCATGAGCAGGTCCTTGTTCATTCAGAAGCTTATAAACAGGTTGTACTCTATTGAAACGGGCTAACTCATTTACCAGACACATTGGAGTTTTCTCTTTGGGGTTTGCCCTGTTATCTTGCAGAGGAACTGTAAAAAAACCACATTTGATTTCTTAAATTTCCAGCATAGTTCTTCTCCACTTTACAGATATAATAACTAATATAATAACCATTTTATATGAGAGAGAGAGAGAGAGAGAGAGAGAGATATTCTGGCTCTAAAATGTTTATTTTCAATTATGTTGGCCACCAAATTGGGGATTATGACATTCTGCAAAATGAAGGTATTGCAAGTATTTATTTTTTGTACAATCATAGGCAATACCATATAAATATGTTTTAGAAATTATTTAATTAATGTAATTTAGCTACTCCATTATTATTAACATTTCTGCAAATTAAAGCCCAGAATTATTAACATTTCTGCAAATTAAAGCCCATTATAGCCATTAGATCCAACTATATATATATATATATATATATATATTAATTATCGTCTATAATTTCCTAGTTCTAGCATTTCCTCATTTACAAGTGTTTTATCTCTATTCCATAAAATCTAGAATGCTTGCCTGGCAATGGATATGCTAATATTTTATTCCTCCTGTCATTCCTCACTTCAATACGCTTTGCACTCATTCCCAGCAGGTTTATTTTGGGGCCCAATGTTTCAATGCATAAGGACAGGAACTACATTTATTTGCAGAGTTACAAAGGAAATAACACTTACTGCCAAAAAAAAAAAAAGGTTGAGACATTTTGTTCTCTGGTAGGAAATGCACTTGGATCCCTTCCTGCAGTTTCAAACTTTACAGCACCAAAAAGGGATAGGTGAGCTCTTTTTAGTGATTCCACAGACATCAAAAACAAACAAAACAACCCTTCAAAAGCTAAATTTGAAAACACAGCTCAATTCAAAGAAAGCAGGACTCTTCTGTTGATGGAGGTTCAGTTATTTTGATTGCTACTCTCATTCTGCACTCTTTGGGAAGTGCTTTATTCCAAAAACCTTGAGTTTATTATATAAAAAAGGAATCATTAATATAAATCAACCACCTCCTTACCCTGTGAGTCGTCAGAAGGCACAGAATCCATCAGACCTGTTGCAGAGTTATTGCAATCAACAGCTGATTCTGGGATGGATCCATTCATGGATGGCTGAGGAGCTGCTGAACTTGTTTCTGTTATTGGTGAATTTAGTATTGCTGTGGACAGGGTAGGTCCAGAGTGGTTGGGTGTGTTCTGCATTTTGACTTGTGCCACTGATTTTACTGAAAAAAGAGGGAAAAAATCAATATATTAGCATTATTTTGCACTAACAGAAATTACATATACAACCCAACTGCAATACCGAGTCCATGTATTCTATGTGTCTTTTCTGCATTCAACTCTGACACTTTACAGTAGCTCACAGTACACTTTTGGGGGTAATTTCCATGGGAGACCTCTTGCAGTAGCTCACAGCTTTACCACTTGCTTTTTCCACAGTTTTGCCAAATGCTGGGCCTCAGAATATTTCAGAAAGAACAAGAAATGGCTGCATTGCAATAAAAAATAGAGCAGGATCAAATGCTCAACTTCTGGTGATAGAACAGCAAACTTCGGGTACAGTGAGACAGGGTGCTTTCCTCCCAACATTGCAGGTCTCTGTGCACTCCCAAAATATGAGCAGGAAGACTGGAAAACCTTAACTTTTTAAAATAGCTCTGAGGACTACAAGGTAGAGTAGGAAGACGTTACACTGAGAGCAGTGACATGAATTTAGGCCATTGTTGCTTAAAATGTTTAAATTTCAGTTTAAGTTCCAGTTTCAAAAAATATACCCACTAGATTTGTGTTTATCAGTTTATTAGTCTAGATGTCAGTTACTTAGAAATGTAGTCCTTGTGACTGAAAAAGAAAGACTACTGGTGCAGTGGTTTGAACATTGGACTACGGCTCTGGAGAACAGGGTTCAAATCCCAGCTTGGCCATGAAGCCCCCTGGGTGACCTTGGGCATGTCACAGTCTTTCAGCCTAAGAGAATGACAAAGGCAAACCTTCTCCAAACAAATCTTATCAAGAAAATCACATGATAGGTTCACCTTAGGGTCACCATAAGTCAGGAATGACTTTCAGGGCACAAAACAACAAACCACTTTATTTGTTGAAGAAAACATGCTGAAGAAGACCAAACAAGATGAAATGTCCAGTTCAAGGTCTTGGGAATGGACATCCTGTTATCATCTTCTCTGCGCTGCCTACATTATTTATGTAGTATTGTCTTCTGAACTTTCTGTACATCACATTTGAACTCTATGTCAGTGGGGTCCCCACCCAGGGTGTCATTCAGTGCGGGGAGGTGGGCCAAAAGAGCACTCTCTCCACAGCCATCCCTAGCCTTCCGAGTCTCAGGTGGTCATTGCTGTACAGAACCTGGAGGCACCCCCCCCCCGGCCTTCTGTCATGCCCAGCCTGGCTGAGGACTCAGAGGACGAGGGGGGTGAGCCACAGCCTCCTTGGGCCCTGAGCCTGAAGCTGTGGAGTCTCAGCCCGGCCCTAGTTCTGCTTTTCCAGCTCCAGCAGAGCCTGTGGCCTCCCAGAAGGGTCAGCAGACAAGCCTCCCGGCAGCAGAACCTTCAGACATTGTCAGCCAGCATCGAGCAGAAAGGGAGGGCCTTTAGCGTTCGAGGAGATGTTATGAAAAACGCCGGAGTAATCAGCCTCAGGTGAGCTCCTGTATCTTGGTAATTTAAGCAGGTGCAGAAGGGCTGCCTCAGTGCCAGAGATTATGAACTTCCTTGCGAAAGCCTGTCTCTCCTTGTTCCTTGGCCTGAAACCTTGACTCTCCTCTTGGAGAGGAGCCTTGGTGGCACAGTGGTTAAATGCCTGTACTGCAGCCACTCACTCATAGACCACAAGGTTGCGAGTTCAGGGCTCAGGCTAGACTCAGGCCTGCATCCTTCTGAGGTCACTAAAATGAGTACCCAACTGTTGGGGGGCAATGAGCTTACAGTTGTAAACTGCTCAGACATCCCATAGCGCAATATGAAGCGGTATATAAATGAAGCTGCTTTTGGATCTGACTTATCTTGAACTTCTGTAACCCTTGACCTTTGGACTGCCTTGTTGCTCTGTCTCTCTGGAATCCTAGACCTTTGGATTGCTTGACCATTCTCTGGCTGGACCTTTGGATTGGTAATACGGACCTTTGCTTTCCTGCTTTGCATTAGCAAAAGACTTTTGTGTGCCTTCAACCCTCACAAACTGCTATCAGCACTCTTGGCAGCTTTCCTGGACACATTATGAGTCCCACATGGCCATGGCTTTGTGGGACCCGGAAGGCAGCCGCCCTCTACCCCACCAGGTGACACCCCCCTCTGGAGTGTCACCTGGTATGGTTTGCACCACCATACACCCCTAATGATGCCACTGCTGTGCGTATAAGTACATTAGTGATTGTGGAATCAACTGGCCTATGTCTGCAATTACATATCATGTCTGTTTTGTGACACAAACAACAGGTTATATTTGAAGACTATAAATAGTTTTAATTATTAATCACATTTTGTGGTACACTTTGTTGTTGTTGTTGTTGTTAACTGCCCTCGAGTCAATCTTGACTCATGGTGGCCCTATGGATGAGACATCTCAAAGACCCTCTGTCCTCCACTGCTCTGCTTAATATCTGCAACCCCATATCCATGACCTCCTTAATAGAGTCCATCCATCTGGCATGTGGCCTTTCTCTCTTCCTACTTCCCTCCACCGTTCCCAGCATTATTGTTTTTTCCAGAGTCTTCCCTTCTCATGATGTGTCTAAAGTACGACAGCCTCAATTTGGTCATCTTGGCTTCCAGGCAGTTTTCTGGCTTGATCTGCTTTAGGATCCTCTTGTTTGTCCTTCTGGCTGTCCATGGGATCCTCAGCACTCTTCTCCAGCACCATATCTCAAATGCATTTATTTTCTTCTTATCTTTCTTAACTGTCCAGTTCTCACATCCATACATGGTAATAGGGAATACAATGGCTTGTATGACTAACTTTTCTGCTGAGTTGTATATTTTTGCATTTTAGAATCTTTTCTAGTTCTTTCTTAGGCACCCTCCCCATTCTTAGTCTTCTTCTGATTTCTTGACTGCAGTCCCCATTTCTATCAATGTTTGATCCCAGGAATGGGAATTCTTTTACTATTTCTATTTCTTCATTATCTAGATTGAACTTGTGAAGGTCCTCAGTGGTCATTATTTTTGTTTTCTTTATGTTCAGCATTAAGCCTGGCTTTGCACTTTCTTCTTTGGTCTTCCTTAGTAGGTGTTTCAGGTCTGTGAGGTTTTCTGCTAGTATTATGGTGTCATCTTCATATCTTAGATTGCTGATATTCCTTCCTCCTATTTCACTCCTCCTTCTATGTCCAAGCCTGCTTTTCTTATAATATGTTCTGTATACAAGTTGAACAAATAGGGTGAAAGGATGCAGGCTTGTTTGACCCCTTTGCCAATTGGGAACCATTCTGTTTCTCCATGTTCTGTTCTGACAGCAGCCTCTTGTCCAGAGTTTACAAACAATATATTCATTTACATATATTCTTCAATACATACTGAAGGTTATGTGCTTTTTCTGTTGTAGGGGTGAGTGCTGGGGTTTGTTCTGTATGTTGCTTAAAATGTCCAATAGGTTTCTTGTTTATCTATAGTAAACTATGACATATGTATGCCACTCAATATCATTCTCTGAGCACTAAACAAACATAGGTCCAAAACACACTGTAGAAATAATCCAGTTTGAGACCACTTTAACTGCCCTGGCTCAATGCGAGGGACCTTTGGGAACTGTAGCTTTGTGAAACATTTAGCCTTTTCTGTCAGAGAGCTGGTGCCACAATAAACTACAATTCCAATGATTCTCTAGAACTGAGCCAGGGGAGTTAAAGCTATCTCAAACTGGATTATTTCTGCAGTGTATTTTGGACCTAAGACTTTCTTAGTTTAATGCCAGCAGTGCTGATGCATCATGTGCCTTAACCAACTTAGTGAAGAAAAGAAATACACAGGAGCGGTTTCTCCCCATTCCTTTTGCTGGCAGCTGTGGCCTCTGAGCAGCTTCTGGCTGCTTCAGGGGGCATGCATCATCTGCACACCATGCCCTTGAAGCAGCCAGAAGCCGTTCCTTTTGGCCCATCTGTTTCAGGCCGTAGTCAAACCTAATAATGACCTTCCAATGTTGAGGTCCCCTCCCTTATCTTAAAAATAGTTCTGGGATCCTTGAACACACATGTATTTCCTTGTTATCTCATTTAAGTTTACATTCTAAAGAACATATCACATTCTATAAGTTGGTGCCTATAGCAAAATGGACCCTTGTTGCCAGATTTCTTGCCTAAACCAAGCTTCTGTATAGTGAGAATTCTGGATGGTCTATTCCAAGTGCATGAGCATATGCCTCACTAGATGTTGATAAGAAATCCCATCAGATTTAGCTTGCAGAGTTAATATGGGATGATGTTGATGACAGAAGATAGGAGTTGCAGTCCAACACGTTCCCCATCCCTCATCTGCCATTTAAAAAATATCTAGAAATCAGCTACAACATTCCTATGCTCCCTCCTTGCGATCCATCCATCAGCAAGCAAGCTGACTGCAAGGACATTTAATAATGTTCCATTATTTCATTAAACAGTGGTCCCTTGGTATTAATGGGGTTTGGTTCCAGGAGGCCCCGTGGATGCCAAAATCCATGGATGCTCAAGTCCCATTCAGTACAGTGGCATAGGGAAATGGTGGCCCTTATATAAAATAGCAAAAGCAAGGTTTACTTTTTGGAATGTATATTTTTGGAATATTTTCAAGCCATGGATGGTTTAATCCATGTATGTAGAGTGCCACCTGTATGTTTTTTAAATAGTTCTAGTGCCACAGTTTAATTATATTTGAATAATATTTTTATTGTTTTTATCTGTGTCTCTTAACTTCTGTAAGCTGCCTACAGTCCCATTTCTGAGGAATAGGTAGACTATAAATAATGATGAGGATAAATACAATGACAGTTGACCGCTGTGTCATCCAATTATGAAAGGTGAAAATCAATTAAAATATATATTTCAGTTTTCATAGAAAGTATGTGAATAAACATTACGTCAGCCTATGTTACCTCCCTCTTATTTCTAAAAACAAGGTAGAAAGGAAACTAGTTGTGTTGTAGAACGTATACATATTTGGCCAGGACCCAAAGGGTACACAGGTAGGTCTGTGTGATCAAGGAGACTCTGAACTTGTCTTAACTTGAACAACAACTTTTCTCATACAGATACAAGATGAATTACTTCGGAAACTGAAAATAATTTCAAAAGTAGAGACTGGAAGCCTGGCAGGGGCAACCAGAAAAAGTAAGAAAATGCATTTCTCCCTTTTCCCCTTGATACCTCTCCTCCCAAAAACTGGAAAAATGGATTATGGAATACTTCCCCCCCCCCCCCCCCCCCCCCACACACACAACAATGAATAAAATGTTTAAGACAAAGTGTATATTTAGCCCTCGTACATTATTTCTAAAAATCATGCAGCAAGAAGAATTTGATGTAACGTTATATTCTGTATTTCACATAATTGAAATTTCTGGTCTTGTTTTCCCCCCCTCAGTTCTTGGTATGGGAATAAGTGTTTTATGTCCTTTTGGCACTATGGAGGACTAAAGGAGACAAAATAATTCTTTTTTTATTAATGTTGATAGCTTCTTCTGTTTTTATTGCTGCTCTGTTGTTGTTTTCTTCTTATAATTGACAGAAACAAAGAGGTTCCTTATAGTTCAGGGTCTTGTAGCTCTAACTGTAACATTTCAAAAAGTAAATTCGATTTGTAATTATTTTTCTAAATAAACTGTATCTTCACAATATCAGACATGATACTTTTATGCCAAACCAAGTTATGCATAATGCATTTTAGATTTCTAAAGTAATACAGTAACTTTTGATCTGTCAAGTACTAATACTGGCTTT